CTAGAATAGCCCCCTTTCCGCCACTCCGTGACACAAATTTTTACAACAGTTCTATTTTAGCCACAGCGCCCCGATTTCGCCTGTACATTACTCTAGTAAATCTGAATAGACCCTGCAATGGGCGGTGAGCTAGCGCCCTACTTGTGGCCACAAAATTGTGGCCACAAACCCGGCGGCCAGAGTCAGCCTTATTCGACCCGACTATAGAACGCCCTTTTTCGGGTAATATGAAAGCCAAAGCCCGGTGATGTGCCGCTCGGAGTTGTTGCACTCAAAATAAAAATATTCTTTTTCTAAAATAAAGGAAATTTTAGCCTTTTTAGACTCTTTCGGTGTAGCACAGCACGAAAAGAATTGGGACGAATATGCCGTACCGTATGTCACCGGACGTGTTTTTACTCGTAGATTCCATTTCTCCAAACAGACTTCAAGAAAAATTGAAACTAAAAGAGAAAAAGGCGAAAAACACTTTTTAGCCGTTTGTCCCATAAGACTTGCATGTTAACTTTGACGGGCCGGCGCGACCTTTTACTTGTGTCCAAAAAATCTGAAAAAAATATTATTTTGCCTATTTTTGGACAGGGAACGAGATAGGACCCCGCCCACTCGGCATTTAAATACTTTTGCGAAAATGAACGTATCTAGCCGTGCGCCCCCGACTTGTTTGTAATGTGTGGGTGACCTTCGGGTGAGTTGTGGCTGAGGGCCCAGTTGTGGCTGAGGGCCCAGTTGTGGCTGAGGGCGCCTGGAGGGTAGGCGGGCCCGCCGAACAGACTCGCCGTACGCCCGCGGCGGCGCTACCCAGTGAGTGGGTGACCTTGGGACGAGTTGTGGCTGAGGGCCCAGTTGTGGCTGAGAGTGCCTGGAGGGTAGGCAATCCTTTCAAATCTGTTTGGGGCCCCCTGGGCCCCATTGCGTTAGTTTTTGCGCATCCGGGGTCTTTCGGCTCGTTACGGACTATGTGCAGAGCATGTCCTCACCTTCTGGTTACACCCTGAAGGCTTTGGATTTCATATTACCCGAAAAAGGGCGTTCTATAGTCGGGTCGGATTAAGCTGACTCTGGCCGCTGGGTTTGTGGCCACAATTTTGTGGCCACAAGTAGGGACGTGTACTCACCCACTTCGGTCCAAAGATGAGCCCGACTCATCCGCAATACTCTTAGCCATGGCCATGACAACAACAAAAACAAACTGGAGCAGCGAGCAGGAGAGAAGCAGAGGAACCCAACGGAAGGCACTACCAGAGTGACGAAGTAGCACGACGGAGCACGTGGCCGACGTTCTTTTCTTCTTCTTCTTCTTCTTCTTCTTCTTCTTCTTCTTCTTCTTCTTCTTCTTCTTCTTCTTCTTCTTCTTCTTCTTCTTCTTCTTCTTCTTCTTCGATATCTGCGCTACCAACTGCCTTTTCTTTCTTCCCATTCCAAGCATCATCTGCAATCCCTCTTTTTTTTTGTTTTTTTAATACTCCAGGCAGCCCTGCATTTTGAACAGAAAGTGGAAAATGTGTCCGTCCTTGCAACAGCCTCAAAATGCGTGACCACACCCCGCCCCCCTGGGCAGTGTCGAACCCACGCCCAGAGCCGAAGACTTCTGGTGTTTATTGAAATGTTAGTACATGTAAAAAAATTGATTATATGACTTTATACTAATTTGAATTGAAATATTGTCACTGATATGTTTTGTTTGCTGCTAACTAGTCAATCTGTGACTTTTACTCTGGAGTATTTATTTAGTGATATTTTGATGAAACAAGTTTCATCTCTAACTCAGTATAACCAAGGATCTCACCTTCTCAGCATTGTGAGGCTTGTGACATACCTCTGTTTAAAGAAAAAACTAATTCGTAATTTACAAAATCCTGTACACTCTAAGGCAAAAATATAAAGTAACTGTGTTATTGAAGCGGCCGGTTTTATTTCACACCCTCCTCGATTCACTGGAGAGCTCTTCACAAGGGGACGCACTTGCCCTTGTTGGCCTTGTCCTTCTTGAAGCCCGCCTTGCAGATGCACAAGTCCGGGCCGGAGCACACGCCGTTCTCGCAGCCGGCCGCGCACTTGGGCACGCACACGTTGGCGGGGCCCGAGCCCTTCTGGTAGCCCGCGCGGCAGGTGCACGTGTCCGGCCCCGTGCAGTCGGCGTTGAAACAGCCCTGTAGGGTTGAAAAATGTGAGCCAACGGCTTTAAAACGAATGAATTTCGGTTGCATCCATTTTCCTACCGATTTGCAGCTGGCCTCGCAACGGCCCATCGGGGACTTGGTGAAGCCGTCGTTGCAGACGCAGTCGTTGGGGCCGCGGCAGACGCCGTTGGGGCAGCCGTCCAGGCAGTCCGAGACGCAAGTTCGGCTTCGGGGATCGTTGGGGTCGAGGTGGAATCCGAACTTGCAGGTGCACTGCCCGGGGGACAGGCAGTCGCCGTTGATGCAGCCCTCGGGACACTCCGGGATGCACCTGCGAGGGAAGGACCATAGGCCAGGAGGTCTTCGACGCCAGAAACAGATGGTCCTCCTCCACGGCTACTTACACGTTACCCGCCAGGATGGAGGGGTCCTTGCGATAGCCCGGGTTGCAGTCGCACTTGTTCGGCCCCACGCAGGCGCCGTTGACGCAGCTCTCGGTGCACACGCCTCTGCACACGCCCTTGCCGCCCTCCGGCGCCCAGCCGCTCTCGCAGGCGCACTGGGCCGGCGCCACGCAGTGGCCTGCCTTGCCGCAGCCGTTCGGGCAGAATGGGTTGCAGCGCGCGCCCGCGGGGTCCTGTGTTGGGCGTCAGACAACAGCTGGTAGAGCCTCAAAGGGGAGCAGGGTCTAGGGAGCAAGAGTGTTTGGCCGGCGCCTCGGTCCTACCTGCGGGTCCTTGACGTAGCCCGAGTGGCAGGTGCAGCGGCCTGCCTGCAGACAGTCCCCGTTGACGCAGGGCGGGTCGCAGTGCGCCACGCAGGTCCCCTTGACGAGGGTGAAGCCCTTCTTGCAGACGCACGTGTCGGGCGCGACGCACTCCCCGCCGACGCAGCCGGGCGTGCAGCGCGGCTCACAGCGGCGCTTGCTCACGGTCTGCGTGTGGGAGAGAGGGCGCGGAGCGCAGTTACAACGAGAGCTGTAGCTGTCGCCGCTAGTGGAAAGGCCGGCGGCGGGCACGTACCAAGTTACCGGACGGGCTGTATCCGGGCAGGCAGGTGCAGACGCCCGGGGCGGTGCACTTGGCGTTGACGCAGCCGTCGGGGCACTGCGACTCGCACACGTTGGGCCGCGTCCTGGAGCGCGCGTGGCCCACGTGGCAGGTGCACTGGTCCGGCCCCGTGCAGTCCGCGTTGAGGCAGCCGCCCTTGCAGGACGGCACGCACCGCCCGTACACGTCCTTGACGAAGCCCGGGCTGCACTGGCACACGCCGGGCGCCGTGCAGTTGCCGCCCACGCAGCCATCGCAGTGCGGGGCGCACAGGCGGCCGTCCTCCGTCGCGCGGAAGCCCTCGTCGCACTTGCACGTCCCCTTGCCTCCGCCCGCGCACACCTGCGGGTGGGTCCGTCGGTGTTAGGGGCACCTGCAGGTGCAAAAGGTTCCGCCGCATGCTCAGCACATACGCACCCCGTTGAGACAGCTGTGCGGGCAGGTATCGACGCAGTTGCCCGCCAGGTCGTGCACCTTGTCGCCCAGGCAGCTGCACAGCCCCGGCGCCGTGCAGTTGCTGCCGGTGGGGCAGCCCTTGGGGCACAGCGGCTCGCAGCGGCCGTAGCGCGTCTTCTCGTAGCCCTCGCAGCACCGCCGCACCTCAACCAGGTCCAGCGTCTGGGTCCCACAAGAGCAATGGGTAAGTATGCGTAAACAGTACATTTTCCTTTTACCGTGGGATTACACTAGAGCGTACTACTCACTTGAGTCGACGTATCGCGGCTGTTATTGGGCACATTGAACAGGCGACCGTAAAAAATCGCGTGAACCAAAAGTTGTTGTGAGCCATACTCTAACTTGTGACGCCCCCCGTACACTCGAGTACCTGAAGGTGTACCTTCCCCCACTTTTCCCCACACCCAATTAAGGTTTCCCGGTGCGACGCGAGGGGATTACGCTCCTGCCCGAGCTCCTGCTTAGAGGTGCTCATCAGGGTAGGGGATCGTCCAGAAAGTGCGTCCGTTTTCATCAGAACCATTCGGCAAATTACGGGAGCTCGGCGCCTGCGAGACTCGGGATAGGCCATCCCGCGGTGCAGGCGTGCACTGAAGTCAAGATGTTGCCTACCGCTCAGGCGCTACGAGAGCTTGCATGGGCTGAGCGTAGCAGTTTCCTGACGGCGAATGACGGACGTGCTTTCTGGATGTCGGCTCGACAGAGCTGCTCGGCGGGTTGCCCTACCCGGAGCGTTGCGGGCGCTATCGTTGGCGTACAGACTCGTCTACCTACCTTGTTGTCGCCCTTGGCCAATAACAGCGACGCAGAGGGAGCGCCGGTGAGGTTCGCCACCTTGGTCGCAGTTCCGTTGAGGGCGGTCGTCACGTTAGGGTTCCTGTGGGTCCGCGAATATTACACCCAGAAAAGTCGTGTCTTGTTTCTAGTAAATTTGTCCTTGTTTCAAGTGCACGCTGACACAAGATCAAATTTTCTCTTGAAACAAAGTGAAATTTTCTTTCGAATATGAGAAAAATCTTCTTCCAAAGACAATATTGCCTTGTTTCAATGGTGAATTTCATCTTGTGTCAGCGTGCACTTGAATCAAGACAAGACACTATTTTTCTAGGTGCACCCTGGAGGTGGGAGCAGGCCGCTACTCACTCACAACGAGGGCGGGCTCGTTGCTCGCTTACCGCTCGTAGACGACGCAGATGCCCGCGGGGAGCTTTGGGTTGCGCACGGGCACCCCGATGGGCGGCGGCAGTGTCGGGTAGATGCCGTCGGGGGGTGCGCCGGCCACCCCGGCCACCACGAGCGCGACCAGCCCCGTCAGCAGGAGGGGGCTCCCCCGGAAAAGGACTCGCGAACACCAAGACATCGCGGACGGAACTGCCTCGACCGCGATCGGCGGCGTCGCTATCGCCCGCGGTGGCGCGGGAGGGAGGGGGGAGGGGGGTTGGTTACCGGGTCGCCCACACTCGGGCCCTGGAGGCCGCGGGGTCACGGGTCAGGGACACGGAGGCTGTGTGAGGAGTCTGGCCGCACCCCGATGACGGTATCACGGCAGGTGGTCGCCGGTGTCTTCCTCCGGAGGCTGAGGAATAGGGAAGCTCTACCGGCCGCACTACTTGTGCCACGAGACAATTTTGACGCAATCTGAACCTCACTCCAAGTGCATTTGAGTGGGCATGAATAACTTTTTGAACACAAATCTGTTCGACATCCGGAAATTTGGACTCTGCGGTCGTCTGACGTCTTTTCAGGCACATTTCGCCATGTCCGGGCCGTTCTGCTGATTGATCGGCCATCCCATAGGCACCCTGCTAATTCAAGAGACTGCAGGTTAATTCTAACCATCTAAATTAATTTTTCCTAAGGGAATAAAAATTCATCTGTTGGCCAAACCATTTAGTTTGGTCCCAACTACAGCGATGTGCCGAGAGGCATCACACCAGAACGATTTGGATAGGAGAGATTTCAAATCTCACATTTCTCTCACATCGCATCTTATCTCTCATCAGGGCACCTCTCGCGGCAACACTCATCAAAAAATCCTGAACGCTGTTCAAGAACTTTTCAAGAACGCCCAACGCTTCACACGAACGCCCAACGCCCGAACTCCCAGAAAAAAACGCTAACTGGATATCTGCCTTGACTTTTACACCACTCAGGCTCAGGCTCCATCGGTCTACCAGTGGGCGGGCGGGGACTGACTTGTGGAGATACTGCGTGATACCGAAGCCTTGAGCTGAAAGCTACGCAGCAGGCGATGAAGACTACCAGAATATAAAGCCCCCATTCCATTCCCACTCCCCCGACTCAGGAATAAAATACAGTTTTCAGAAAATGTTGCGAACGACCAGTATTTGTTACAAACCGGGTCGGAAATCAATCACATATATGTTACAGCATAGGTATATTTATTTATTTTTAAACAGGCCTTGCCGAGCGAAAACACAGAGAGCGTAGAGTAGGGCGCGGGGGGAGGGGCAGGGAGCTGGAGGGAAATGCGGCCGAAAAGGCAAAAGGCATCCGACTCCACGCTCTCGTACTGTCGCGCTCTCCCTCTGCCCCTCTCGCTTCCCCACTCGCCCTAAATCCACGCTCTTGCGCTCACGCTCTCGGGAGCGTGGCCAAACTGAAAATAGCTGATATACTTATAGATGCATTGCGCAGATCGTGTTGCGTATCCGCCAGTAGCGCCAATAAATACGTTTCAATGCACATAAAATGTGACACCTTGGTGACGCATTAAATGCGCATCACAGCATTTAGTGCGCATAATGACGCGCATTATCTGGAGTACACTAAGTAACGAGTAGGCTGGAGTTATGGGCCCTTCTTTTGTGGGTCCTTCCCTAACACACAACTGGCGCCATCTCTCGGATATCTGAGAAAGCGTAGCGTAGCCTCGCGCGGGCTCTAGCGTGACGTGACACAGCACAGCAGACAGCTTGAGAGGTCCATAGTGTCAAACAGCACAACAGAAATTTAACTCTTCTTCAAAGAAAACCTTCTTGATTCTTGAGTGACCTTGTACCAACCATTTTATTAAGCTATTTTGTGATTGTGTGCAGTCTGCATATTATCTTTGCTATTTAATTACGACTCCGTTTTGTGCCAAAGCGGCCCTTCTTTAGGTTAGAAGTGAAAGTAAACAAACCGCGTACCGCACTTTATTTAAGGTAGTTTAGTTATCTGATCCATAATGCAAGCCGTTTTGGGTGGCGGAATTAGCGGTCTAAGTGCTGCTTACTACCTACAGAAATTGGGATCCAAATCTAAAGTACTTGTGTACGAAGGAAGTAACAGAGTTGGGGGATGGATCTGGTGAGAATTTGTTTTGTATTTATTAATTGGAACTTCATGACTCTGAGTTATTCAACTTTAAATCAATTCCGTGTAGGACTTCAAGACAAAAAAATGGCATTTTGTTTGAACAAGGTCCAAGGACTATTAGGCCACGGTTTGAGGCAGGCTTAAATACTTTACAACTTGTCGAAGAGCTAAATATTGCAAATCTGGTATGCATTTTTATTTTATCTCATATCATCATCTGATACCATTCATGTTCAGTGCATCCTGTTATGTTCCAGGTGAGGGGGATTCCCGTTAGTCATCCAACTGCGAAAAACCGGATGATATTTGTTAATGGCAAGTTACACACTTTGCCCTCTTCGCTGCGAGACCTTTTTATACGTAGACCACCATTTTCCAAACCCCTTGTTGCTGCTTTATTTCATGACATGAGAGCAAAGAAAAAAGTGCTAGATGATGAAAGCATCTACAGTTTTGTTGAAAGGAGGCTTGGACGCGACCTTGCCGAATACGCTATAAGCCCCATGATCTGTGGCATATGTGCTGGTAATGCTAAAGAAATATCAGTAAAGTTCCTGGCAAAGAGCCTTTTTGAGTTTGAACAAGTAAGAATAATAATAATATAAAAACAAAATTCCTTCAACCTGCTGTTGAAATAACCGTTGTTAATGTAAAATTCATCTACAGTCTCTGTATTAATATTTTTAGGTACATGGATCAATTACTAAAGGTTTACTAGCCACTGCATGGCAAAACCGAAAGAGGATCTGGAGCAGGGCTGATAAAGCACAACTTGCCTCTGACTCTTTAGCGCACAGAGCAAAACAAGAACGTTGGAGTGTTTGGTCCTTGGAAGGTGGTTTAGAGGTAAGATCTTACAATGTATTTGACCAAAGGCAAAAGAAAAAAAATCATCATGGGTAGGATGATTTTAAGGTTTGGAATGGCTTTGAACATTTATCTGTTGACTCTTCATCCAGGTGTTACCACAAACTCTCTTGAAAACTGTCCAGTCCCAAGGAGCTAAAGTTGAGCTGAATGCTAATTGCACTCAAATTGTTTTCAATGGAGACGGGGCTGTTTTAACCATAGGAGATAAAAATGTACAAGCTAAAAATGTAATAAGCACAATACCAGCTGAAAGGTATAATCTGTTCTCTGATAATTTTTTTTTGAAAACATGTTAAATCTCAGACTTTAGATCTTATTGATTTTGCTTTGCAGACTTGCTCCTCTTCTAGTGCAGCATCCCTTCCTTACTGAGGAGCTGGGCAAGATATCATCTGTTACGGTTGCTGTTGTTAATATAGCATATAAAGGAAATGTTCTAAATCATAATGCCTTTGGGTTCCTTGTCCCTCCTTCTGAAGAGAGACCAATTCTTGGAGTTATTTTTGACACTTGCTCATTTCCACAAGATGGATTCAGTGTGTTAACCGTGATGATGGGAGGTCATTGGTTTGGTTCAAGACTTGGAAATTCTCCTACTAAAGATAGCATTTTGAAAACTGCTATCTCAGAAATTCGTTCCATTCTGAAAATTTCTGATGACCCATGTGATTCTCAGGTTTCAATTTTAAAAGATTGTATACCACAATATGTGGTGGGGCATCATGACAGAGTACAGAAGATTCGTGAATATATATTGAAGCACAAGCTACCTCTCTTATTAGCAGGTAGCTCATATGATGGAGTGGGTGTAAATGATGTTATCTTCTCTGCAAAGCGAGCAGCAGCAAACTGTTAATATTTTAAAGAAAAAAATATTCCTTGTTTTACAAACATACCCACAATCTGGGATAGGTCCTTAAATAAATTATTAAGTTCTGAAATGTTTTTGTAACAAATTATATTTTTATTAAAATTATTTTAACGGAATGATAACAACAACCTTTATGGTGTACTGTAATTTTACAATTGAACTGATTCAAATTCAACTGATCAATACGTCTGTATCACTTATGTCACCCCAATCTTCATTATCACCCCACGCTTCACCATCTGTTAATCCATTGGCAGTGATGTCCACATCAAAGCAACGAAGGTTTGCATTGGTATTGGTTGTATCTGCCTGACTCTCTAAATTATCCAACTGTAACAGTTTTGGTTTAGATATTACTGGTTCCATGTCTTGGAAGAAGTCTATCTCCTCTGGAACACTTTGCTTTCTAGGAGCAACAATAGAATTTTTGATATCTAGAGATGTTAAATCGGGAAGGCGGTTTCTTGAAGCTGTTATAACAGCAGAAGTTTGAGATAAAGAAAGTGGTGCACTGATGGACTCTGCAAGATTCACTTCAGACTCCAATGATCCATGCACTGTCATTTCATTTGACTCATCTATGCCGGTAGACGCCTGTTAACAATTTTTTTTTTTTTTAATGTAAATGAATCAAATTCATTACTAGTTTTTGGTTCTAAAAAAAATATCCTACCTGTGACTCATTAACATCCCAATCAGACCAATTGTCTGTTTCTTCATCAAGCTGTGCTGTCAGTGCTAGGTCTTCCCCTCCATCTGGTGATGGTCTTTCAGGCAATTCTATTAATGACAACGGCAAAGCAACTTCTTGGGCTTCAGAAAAACAAAATTTGAAAAGGTCAAAGTTGGGAAATGCAGATGTCTAAGAGATGGAATGACTCATAAAAAGTCGATAAAACCTACCCATATTGTTAATTGTTGTTTTCTCCTTGATAAGCGGCCTTTCCTCATCCTTTAAAGTGGTTATAGTAGATGATTTTGGCTAAATGTAAAGAAAAACACTCATCAAACCTGATCTTCAAAAAGCCTACTTATTGTTTTAAAATTATTTTCAGTGTTAGATTAGATATGGGTTGGGGGTTGGACCATGACATATACTCACAAGAATTCCACTAATATTTGGTCGTCCATCAGTGAAAAGTCTTGCTCTCTTTCCTCCAATTACAGTTGTAGAACCAAGAATAGGAACGAGTATGGCAAGAGCTCTCAGAGTGCTGGCAACAATAGTGTCACTTGTGTCCTTGATTCCCACCAAGAGCTGTGGATTAAAATTATGATAATGAAGCATTTTCACAATGTTTTAGCAATTAAAGAGAGTAACTTGGTAATTGATAATTACCTCAGGCAAGACTTTGACACGAAGCTGATCTTTAGTGAAAGCACAACAGTAATGCTCAAAATGTTCCAATAGTAATAAGCGCACTTGAGCATCTCTCACAGAAAAAATGTGGAGAAGCCTCGGCACAATGTGCTGTTGAAAAGTATTCATACTGAATAATGGAAGATTGCCCTCAACGTGAGTACCTGGGGGAAAATGAAAAATTATGGCACTTGGTTAAAATTGTGACAGGAATCTTTCAAGTATCAAGGCATGAAATGCTTTACCATTCTGTGGCTGCAAAACCAATGGGAGAAGATGCTCTTGAGCTGTTTTGTCAAGAAGAACCAATCGACTCAAAAGTAACGCACTCAATTGGCTTGCTAAAAGTATTTCTGGGAATTCTCTTAGTTGATCAGCCAGGCCCCTGAGATTTTAGATTAGATTAATATTTAAGTTAATAATAATAATACAACACAGATAACACTACAAAAATAAATACATAAAATTAATAACCTGAAAAATGAAGATTTTTCATCATCTGATTTAAGGGGAAGCTCAGATAAAAAATCATGAATCACTACAAATCTATGGTTAAAAATTGGTTGAACTAAAAGTTGTGATAGTTTGGGCCTTAAAGAAGGCTCTAAACTTTGCAATTGTTTTTTAGCTATTTCTCTGAATTCTTTGATGCCAGGTATCTGAATATCTAGAGGAAAATTGAAGTAAAATTAAAACAACAAATAGCAAGAATAATTAGTCACATAAATTGGTTGTTAAAACCTCCTGTACATACCCTCTGGTATCCTACAGAATACATCTTCAACTAAAATACCAAAAGCAAATGAATCAATTGCTTTTGGGTCTATAGCTTTTCCTGCATCTTCCTCTGGAGGCACAGCTTTTTCATAGCGCCTTGCTCTTGCCTTTTGAAGATAGTCAGGAGTAAGCTCTGAAAATCTAGAGGAATAAAAGAAATTAGAGAGAGTGTTTGTAATGACCATCATAACATAAATAATCTTAAGATCTTCCACCTTGATAAGAATTCTAATCCTCCAAGCTTCCAGGAACCATCAAAAGTCACATATATGGAGGCACAACACACATTATTATGAGAGCAAAATGCCTGAAAAGTGGATGGTTTCCATTCTAGAGATAAGTTAAACACAGAATAAACATAATGTTTTTATAATCTAGAAAGAGGTACAGACCTTCTCATGAAGAAAAATTACTGCTTTTAAAATATCATGGAGACCAAGACAAATTTCAAATACTGTTTGATTTTCTAAAACTGTAGTTAAAGGGCTCACACTTTCTGTGGCCATGCACAGTTGCCCTTGATGTGACCAGGATGAAATATATTTTAAAATATTAGGGTGACGATATATTCTGAAATTCTATATAGGAGGAACAAAATCAAGGTTAACCACAATAACTTTATACTGCACAGAAAACAGAAATTTGCAGAGGCCGCACTTACTTTGATTGCATGCTCCAGTGAATTATTATTCACATGGTTAGTTTGACGGCCACAAAATACTGACAAGTTTGGAGATGCACTACTAGAGGATGTGGCAGAATGGAGAGTCCATTCCTCTGTGTTCTCAACAGGTTTGGAATCTATATCCAAACCTGGTAACATACTTCCTTCATTGCCCATGTCTATTAAAATTTACAGACAGTTCACTGTAAGTTATTCTTGCAAAACAGACATCACCGAAAGAGGAGAGTTTGCACTGTCATCACTACTTGTCAACTTTCACTGGATGTCAGCAATATTTTTTTAATCTGAAATAATAAAGATTGTTGACATGAAATATTTACGTTAATTTTGTTCGGTAAATCCGACAGGTTTAGATGGAAATCCACAAACGTCTGAGTGATTGACATCTTATAACCTCTTCGGGACATCTTTAGTACGATCAGGGATCGATGAATAAGACCAAGAAAAATATTGTATTTGGTAAAATTCTTGTACCTCAGGGTTAAAACTTCTCACAAATGGTGCGATTGTATTGTTTGATAAAACGCAAGCAACAAATCAAGCACTAAACAAGCATCAACACGATAAGCAGAAGAAACCCCAGTGGCAGAAGGAAGAACACCGTCACCGTAAACAAAACAGGCGGCTGGTTGTGCGAGGTTGAGTTCCAAAATTGTTAGCAGGCACCGACATGTTGTTGTGCTTGGCCGTGGTTGTGTGCTCGTTGTGCTTTTGACGTCGCGAACATCTAAATGAGAAGAAAATATGTCAAATCCTGGGTGTAGCCGGAGAAATGGTGCTATGAAGATTAGATTAACTCGTAAGTTTGCTGTGGACAGTCTCTTGAATTCGTACTTATGATACAATGCCCGTAAACAAACAATGAATGTAGGCAAGGCTTCATTGTGTTTGCTTTTATTCCAAGATGGCCTCTGTTAATCAACCATATCAAAGGATTTAATTTGCTCAATTGTCCTTGTTGGTCATTGCATATTGTCTCTGAGCCAAAGCACTTGTTTGTCACGAAGGCAGGAAAAGTATGCGCTTTTTGTCTCCCTTCATTTTTTTCCCATACCTATGTAATGAGACAACATGCCTTGTCTTGCATAATCCCCAAGTGTTAAGTATTTATTTGCCAAATGGTTCTAATACCATCACTTTTCTTGTAGAAGAAGATCTGACATGATCTTTATTAAGTACAAAATTTTCCACTTGGTTTATGTTATACTTAATTCAGTATAAATCCTTGACCATTCAAGCACGTAGTATTAAGCAATCACTTTTGCCTTAAGAACTTCCTTTCTAACCACAATGTTTCTCTTTTCCTCATATTGTTTACTTATTATCCTGTTTCATTTCAGTCCTCTGCGCAAGGAATCTAGCTAGAAAGGACCTTTTCAGTAAGTCATTCCAAACAAATTCCATATTTATATATATACACTAGCTTTTAAAAATAATTATGTGGTCTGACTCCTTTTTTTGTTTTGTTTAGGATTACCAGATCCCTTTGCTAAAATAAGTGTTGATGGTTCTGGGCAATGTTTTAGTACTGAAACTTCTAAAGCCACACTTGATCCTAAATGGAATCAACATTTTGATTTGTAAGTAGTATTGAGCTACCTAAGATGTTACTCATTAAGTCTGTGTTCCCATGATCAATTTTTTTCTCTTCTCCTTCTTTAGATATATTGGAAAAGGAGATGGTATCACAATTAGTGTATGGAACAATAAAAAAATTCATAAAAAGCAAGGTGGAGGCTTCCTTGGATGTGTTCGCATTTTGTCAAGTACTGTTCAGCGTTTGAAAGATACAGGGTGTAAGTATAATCACAAGTAATTGTGAAGTGGAGATTTATTTTCAGTTCATATTTCTGCCTTTTAAGTAAATTTGAAATGTGTTGTCATTGTCATGCTTGACAGTCAATTTTCAATGAGCAGTAAGCATTCACTCAATCAAGCATCCTTATACCCTATAGCTTATTGCCACTATTTTGCTATGCTGCTAGCTCAAAAGCCCAAATAGACTTTCCCGTATTTGTGCTAAGTCATATTGCTTTTTCTGCAAGTAGTTTATTTCAAAATTACAAGTAGCCTTCTTCCTAGACGTGACTTACAAAGAATGTCAATGCAAGTGCTGCTTCTGAGTTCTACTTTTTGTACTTTTGTGTAGTTAGATCAAAAGTGGTGCCTCAACACTAGGAGGTTTATGAAAGGGGATTAGGTTCGTGCTAAATGGCAGTAGCAATCTGGTTGTGAAATCTAGGGAATGTTGGCCAATATTCAGAGCGTAGAAAGGTATTTCCATTTATATTTTCCTCTGAAGTTGTTTTAAAAATGCTCCTCCAATAAACTTCTTGCAGAATAAGTAACATATCTAATATTTATCCAAATATAATATTCTTCCTAGTGTGAATAATTTTGTTAATTGCCCCAAACTTTTAATGCAGATCAAAGACTGGACTTGTGCAAAGCTAGCGCTGAAGACCCTGATCCTGTTAAGGGGGAAATAGTTCTGTCATTACTGTCCCGGGACGGTCATGGTGGTGTTGCCAGTGGTGGTCACAATGCTGTTGTTGATCCTTTGGGTGGACTTAGCTGTCCAGAGGATCTCCCTGAAGGGTGGGAAGAGAAGCGAACCTCTGCAGGACGTCTGTATTATGTTAATCACCACACTAAAACTACCCAATGGGTTCGACCCAACAGGTTAGTAGAATTGTCTACAATCTTCGTGTAAATTTGTGGGTTGGTGAAGGTGGTTTTTTCTCATCAGCAAGTTGAATAAGTTTATTTCAGCTTTTAGTTTTTCATTGACATTTCACCATAAATTTATTGTAAGGAAATCATAAGACCACCTAAAATTATGACAAACAATTTTAACTACATCATCATTCTCTTTGTTTATTATAATCCGGCCATATACATATGTGAAATGTGGATGTTCATTAACTAATTTGCATGTGATGTGTGCAATTGGAGGACCACATCCAGCTTTCAGAATTTGCAATCACTGCTTTTTTCCCATGGTCTTTGCATTGAAAATCCAGGTGTATGCTTGGGATCACTCTAATATTTCTCATTCAGTGGTTGCCTGTATTCTGTGTCGCTCACTTCCCATGGATTTTAAACATTACCCATCTGATTTACCTTATCAATCACTATTTTAAAATGGGAATTCAACTTGAAAAACAAAACAATATTTGTCAAAATACTGTATTAAAAATATAATGCATGATAGTTTTGATGCTTAGGCCACATCTCACTCTGTTTGTGCATCTTGCAAAACAGCTATAAGACAAGTAATAATTGTATTGTGCTTTGCACTCGCCTGTGATGTTTATCTTGGATGCTCTCCATTGACAGGCCCTCACATCCTGCCTCGAATGGCTCCTCAAATGGCTTGATCCTTAACCAGTCAGGTGCTGAACCTGATTGTCCTTCCCCAATAACTCCTGCAAATACCCTTGGACCCTCATCCCCTCAGGCAGCATTGCCTGCCACCCCTCCCCGGTCTCAATCAAGTGTGTCTGGAAGCATTCCCACTTCACCTGCTTCACCTTCAACACCAACAAGGTGATCACCTGCTCTGTGTGCTTTACATGCCTTATCACTTCATTTATTTTTCCTCTTTGCACATTTTTCCAGTTAATTAAATCCTTAACTGTAAAGTGCATTTTTCTAATTTACAAGGAGTTTTTCTTTAATCTCTTAGTTTTTGTCACTGTGTGCTAAACTTTTTTTGTGTATGGTTTTAGGGATCAGTACAATGGCTCTATTGGAGGAGAAAATACTCAATCGAATGACAGGAGAAGTAATTCCTCAGCAAACGGCAATGCAAGGGCAGCTTTGTCCCCCTTAAATGGATCTCCTTCGCCTCACAGTACTCCTTCTCAGCCAGCTAATAAGCGGCGCTCGAGTCGGTCAAGCCGCTCGTCACAGCAGCATCAACTGCTGCTCCAACATCAGCAACAACTCTTAGGCCAAAATGGAAGAACGCACAATGTGGGCCAACCTGGCGATTTACCTTCTGGTTATGGTTAGTGTTAACCAGTCAACCTCAATCATTTGTGAAAAGGCAAGTGTGGTTTCTTATAACTTTCAATCTTACTATTTCAGAGCTTCGCACCACTCAACAAGGACAGGTTTATTTCTATCACATACCAAGTGGAGTAAGCACTTGGCATGATCCTCGTATTCCGCGAGAACTCACTAGTGCTACTGGATCTGGAAGTCAAGGAGGAAATTCTGAACTAGCTAGCCTTTTGGGGGCGGATCTTGGCCCCCTTCCACCTGGGTGGGAAAAGAGGCAAACTCAAAGTGGGCGGGTATATTATGTTGATCATAACAACAGAACAACTCAATTCACCGATCCAAGATTATCATCAGCAATCATTCAAAGGCTTTTCAAGTATGTAGTATATTTGGTTGCCGCTAATGCTGATTACATTCATCACTGCCTATGTCTCTAAAAGTATTTTTTATTCTAGGAGGCAAAATCAACAAAATCAAGCAACTAGCCAAGCCTTGCCTCAGTCAACTGTGATTTCTAATGAAGGAGTTGTTGATACTGTTCCACCTAATGTTACAACCAGTGACCGAGACAACATAAATACAACCAACAACAACACTAATGTGTCTCTTAATAACACAAATAATTCTAACAACCGGCCACTGTTGGGACGCATTAGAACACCAGGAGATGGAGCTAGCGATGATACCAGTATTGCAACAATAGCAACCAACTCCACCACCTTGACCACCACAACAGCAACAACATCGCCAGCAACCACAACAACACCAGCGCCACCACCAGTCATACCCATTCCTCCACCAGACTTAGACAGTGAAGGATTGCCAAAGTACAAGCGGGATCTTGTTGCAAAGCAGCGTATTCTCAGGGCTGAACTTCAAGCTCTTCAACCACAGAGTGGCCACTGCAGACTAGAAGTATCACGATCAGAAATATTTGAGGTTGGTCTTATATTCAGTTTCTGTTTTCATAGAGAAATATTGTATCTGTTTTGCTCTAATTGTTTTCCTAATTTCCTGTAGGAGTCATACAGACTGGTCATGAAGATGCGTACTAAGGACATGCGTAAAAGATTAATGGTGAAATTCAGAGGGGAGGAGGGTTTAGATTATGGTGGAGTGGCTCGTGAATGGCTGTTTCTTCTGTCCCATGAAATGCTGAATCCCCAGTATGGATTGTTTCAATATTCTCGTGAGGACAATTATACATTGCAAATAAACCCAGATAGTAGTGTCAATCCAGTAAGTATTTGACTTCAGCTGTGTTTGTGTATATTTTTCTCTGTATTTAGTTTTTCCTAACTTGAAATGAATTTCAGGAACATTTATCTTACTTCCATTTTGCTGGCCGCATTATTGGTATTGCTGTTTTTCATGGCCATTATATTGATGGGGGTTTCACTACACCATTTTATAAGATGTTATTGAACAAACCTATCACTCTGGATGACATTGAAGGAGTTGATCCTGCATTACATAGAAGTTTAACTTGGATGCTGTAGGTTTTTCTTTTTCTATTCATTTGAACAAAGTTTTAAGTTCTAATAATTCTCATTATACACATGCAATTTGTTTCTTTCAAATTCTAGGGAAAATAAAATCACTGGAGTTATAGATACAACATTTGCTGTTGAACAAAATAGTTTTGGAGTTTTAAAAGTTCATGAGTTGAAGCCAGGTGGCAAAGATGAACAAGTTACCGAGGATAATAAAAGCCTTTATGTGAAGTAAGTTTTTACCTTAGACCCCATTAAAATTGTTTAATGTATAATCTTTACTCTAATGGGTGTTTTATGTTCCAGGCTTTATGTTAACTACCGGTTCATGCGAGGGATAGAACAACAATTTTTGGCTCTGCAAAAGGGTCTTCTAGAACTTGTCCCACCTCAATTGCTTCGGCCTTTTGATGAAAGAGAACTGGAACTTGTCATATGTGGTTTGGGAACAATAGATATAAATGATTGGAAAGCAAACACACGACTCAAGGTATGAGTTATTGTAGTTGGAATCAGTGAAACTTGTCTCTTTTGCGTTGTGTCTTGTTTTTTTTTTGTCATGTTAACTTTTTTCAATTTTAATTTGTACTTGTTTTTTTAGCATTGTACCCCTGATACTCCAGTGGTACGGTGGTTCTGGCAAATTGTGGAATCATATAGTGAAGAAATGCGCGCCAGATTACTGCAATTTGTAACTGGAAGCTCTAGAGTTCCATTACAAGGCTTTAAAGCTTTGCAAGGTAGAGGATATTACACTCAAAATTTAATTTTGGGGAGTATTTCTAAAGCCTTTATTTCACTACTTTTTTTTTATCTTTCCAGGTTCTACAGGAGCTGCTGGCCCTCGTCTTTTCACCATCCATGTTATTGATGCTCCAATTGAAAACTTGCCTAAAGCCCATACATGTTTTAATAGAATTGACATACCCCCTTATGAGTCCTATCAGAAAATGAACGAAAAACTCAGCCAGGCTGTGGAAGAAACCTGTGGCTTTGCTGTGGAATAGTTGTCTATAAATTCCACTGCTACTGTACAGGTATTAATTTTTAATCTTGCTATATCATAGTTTTAAATATCTACACGGCAACTGATTGGGTCGTGAAACTTGTAACTATTTTGTCGTCCTGGTGAATCAACATTTTAAACATCTACTGTATATTGCCTGTTATATTTTAAAGTTTACTACATATCTTAAATTTTTTAAATTTTTGCTAATTGCTGTGATCCAAGTGCATTATTGTTATTTACCTTTGTGGATTAATGTGCAGTGGCTAAACTATCATATTGTTTATCTCACTTTAAAACTTTTGAGTATCTGTTTTGATTGAGTTCCATTTGACATCTTTTCTGAATTGTCTAAGATGAGCAAGGCAGGATTTATGTAATCAATTTTCCATATCAAAATGCCCATCTTGTGTTTACTGACTAACAAACCAGTTCCTCTTAGTTTTCTGGTTTTGCTTCAGTGTTCATTGGCTTGATCTAATCAAGCTCTTTCAGAATATCTATATCTACCATCTCTTTTAGCTCTTAAACACAAGAAATATAACTACAAGCAGTTTTACATGTTTTTCAAATTTATCTTGGCATTTATGCCTTCCAGTCTTTTCCGATTATTTTCAGTGTATTTGTGTTATTTGATATCACTGCTGTATTTGATGAGGTATCAAAATTTGGTTAGCTGTCTTTTAACGTGGTGGAAGAATAGAATCCATTTCATAACTTCAATTTCACGTTTCAGCTGTAAGTTCATTATGTGTGTGAACATTTACTGGCCTTTGGACATTCAGCTTAACACTTTTACAGTTCTATGTCACAGACCAGTTGATTACTTTCAGAGGCCTTCCTCTTGTTGAGGGGAGAGAAATCTATCCATATCATGTATGTAGGGTTGTTTTGATTGATGAGATATTTCAACTAATGGTTGTGCAAAGGATGGCTGTGCTGTTTAAGTTCAGCCAAAAATATTATTTTTGTTGCCTTTCTTTTATCTTTTATAAGCCTTGTTGTTCACCTGTGTTATCATTTCTTTGGGCCCCTTTTTGTAAAAAAGTTGCATAGCTCAATAAGGATGCTCCTTCCACACATTACAATAGACAGGAGGTAAGAGGTCAAATTTTAAGTTCTGATGATGGGTTTGTTCCCCTTTTAATCTCAAAAAGCTGCATACGTTACCCAAGACTGAATATCATCACTGCCAACACAGCTTATTCAATTCTTATGTGTGCATCGTCATTTCAATTGTCACTCATTAATGTGTTTATTTTATATGTGTTGAAGTAGAATTTTTCTCTTCTTTCATTTGAGGCCTTAGTTTTTATGTTTATGTAACTTTTATGTATGAACCAAAATTATTTATTTACTTATCTGCTACTGTCTTGTACATAATATTTCTGTGTAAAATGTATCTTTAGTTTGTACATGACAAACACTTTTTAATATACATATCGGAGGCTGCAGCCTTTTATACCACTTTATCGTGATATTTTTGTTTCCTGTTAAGTGGGAGCTTGTGTTGTGAGCTGTTTGTGACTGCATGTACAGTAAATCTATCTTAGAAATTGCCCTCAACATTTTGTTTTGTTATCATTTTTGTTCATACAAGTTGTTAAAGACATTAGAACTTTGTTTTATTTAATTAGCATGTCAATTGAATACTTTCAAGCAAAATTTTATAGCTTGATAAGGATCCCTCATCAGAAACCCTGTACCAGTTATTGCATATCTTTATAAAATTACGTACTGACTTCTAGCATGGGGATCAATTTAAGGTTTCTACTTCTAAAGAAAATTTGGTCACATATCTTGTTGGGAAAAATTGTTTAGTGTTTACTCTAGTTATTTTTGTATCTATGCAAGTGTTTTCACTGTACTGGAGAATGTAAATACAAATAATATCGCTTGTTTTTATGAGAATGCCAACCTGCTACTGTATTGTTATTGACATTGATTTTCAATTGATTTTATCAGGTTGATTTGGCTTTTATCTTTACTATTCATATCAACTAACATTTTATCTGCCTGTTACAAGGATTGTCTCACAAAATTTGTGGGTCATTTTTTTTCCCCGAAAAGTAAAATGCTTGTGCTCCCAATTTACATAGCTGTTTCCTGGAGCAATTGTACTGATCAATTCTGAACAAAGTTGCAGATTTCACTTGCTGTTCAATCGTTAAACATTGGTTGATTATCCAGTGTTGGAATTGTCAGGAAAAACAAAAATGCTTTTTGCATTGCTAATATCAGGGGGTGTTTTTTTACTGCTTTATAGCATGTATTTGTGATATATCTGTGTTGTTTAAAGTGTTTTTCTTTAAACACACCCCTAAATCAGATTTAATACAAATTTTTTTAATTTTCTGCTTCCCTCTAAAATGCTTCTTGATACCAACATATCATTTGCTAAAAATTGATTTGTCTTTGGACTGTCTTTTTGATCCTACCTACCCTAAATATCATTTGTTTGCTCTCTACTAATTGGGTGGATGGACCATATGGTTTAGAGAGAATCTTTTGTTTTGTTTTCTATCGCCACATTGCTTGTTTCAACATCTCCATAAAACATGCACAGTATTTCAGTACTCTGTGCCTATTTTTTTGAGTAAATTATCTATTTATATACTTATGTTCGACCTTAAATTACTGTAATATTTAATGAAACATTGTATGACGTAATGAACTGAATCTCATTTTCAAACACTTCATTTAGCCCTTATGTTAATGTTGGCTTCTGCTCTCACCTAATCTGAGAAGTTAAAAACCGCTAACTTTCTAGACATCAAGCACTAGAGTTTATTTTACAGTTTTCACACCAAGAAGTTCTTTTTTTTGCTTGCTTTTTGTTTTGCTAAACAAAAAACGTTTTTAATTGTGTGCCACTAGTTTCCTTTTTAGTCAGTATTTCTAACTCCAGTATTAATCTAATCTAAATAATTGCTGGCATCCTAAATACTGAATTAAGCTCAAATGATTGAGGTGAGAGGGGAATTAATATCAGCCTGCATTTTCATATGTGATGAACTGTGACTACAGTCTGACCAGTCAGAGAAGCGATGAAGGATTTCTGTGGCTTCTCATAAGCTATTCCAGATCCTAACTTTGGCTGGTTTGAGTATAGAACTAAGTGTTTTTAGTGAGCTTCATCTTTCAACTGATTTGTGCTGTGGCATGTGGACAATATACAGATAGATGTATTTCTTTCTGGTGATAAACATGTTTCTTTACTTTACCAGTAGTTACTATTTGAGGTTTATATATATGTATACATGTGAAGGAACCAGTTCCTTTGGGAAAAATTACTTTCCAATAAATGGCATCTAGACATTATAAGCAATGATCATGTCTTATTTGTTGATTTTCCACCGGCACAACACATCACTTTTGGTAATCACAATTGTCCCATTGCATTTCATTTTCTTGAAAACCTTATACATATCCACAGCAAGAATAACTAGAATCAAAAACTGACATTAAACAGAACTTGCTCCAGGCGAAAACATTTTCACCTGTCTGTCTAAAAGACGATAGTGATAAGTTCCTGATGAAACAGACAAACCCCCCACACTCAAACAACCAGAAACATCCTTACTCAAACCTGTCTGCAAGGCTGATACAGTGACAGTCAAATCTGATGCGTTCTTCAAAAATGCACCCAATAATCGTTCACTGTCATCGTCATCGGTAACATGTGTGGAAATTACAAGAGATAAATTACTGATTCCTGATAGAAGTCCTTGTAGATAGTTTAAAAATATAAAAAGCTGTGCAGTTGACACACCTGAAGTTAACAGATCATTTACATTCCCTATTATTAAGCAAACAGATTTGAAATTCTCTTTCATCTTTAACAACTTACTCCTAATACTCAAAAATAGAGATTTCACAAAAAATGTCCCGTTTTTACTGATATCTTCCTCTGAAGTTTCTCTTGATGTGGAAAGTGACTCGTTAATTAATTTCATTAGGTCTAGTTCTTCAAAGAGACCTTTTTGACTCAAACTAGTCAAGTTCAACCTGCAATCAAGAAAAATTTTAAAACAAGGGACATATATTGACGAGAAAAGGTAATAGGAGAAAACAGAATAAAATGAAGAATGTATTTACCCCAACTTCAAGCTCTGGTTCCGATAATGTGCAGCTGAATGGTGACATGTTAGTAACAATACAGCGGTTGACGTTTCAGACGGACGGGGAACTAGCAACCCGTTAGCACGGCACTCACGTGAAGAACGGCCCACCAAACACTCCCACATGAAGCACGACAGGACAAAGCTGGAGTCTGCATTCCCTTTCTCCAGGACAGCGATGGAGGAAGATTGTACCTCAGGTTGGTCCAGTCCCAGAGCGGCAATAAGAGCAGCAGCCATTTTCGCTGGGGAAAAAGAAATTATGATGTAACGTAAAGTTGGTGAAGTAAAATACTTGCAGGTTGCAAACGCAGTGTCACACAAATGACGACGGACATAACCCTCAACCATCACATGCTAAGATTTTATCATTAGCAATGGCTCACATCATAGACATCTGACTACCTTGACAACTAAACAGGGTGTAAAAAGAAGTTTCAGTTCTTCAATACATTTCTGTTTATGTGCTTACAATTTGCTGCTAGTTCATGAGAACGTAAATAAAAACGGAACTCGTGCGCATCGGGTTTGTTTGTTGTGGTGTGTAATCCTGCCCGGTGATCGTGCATCATTTACATGAAGGGGTTATTTTCAGTATCATAAGGGATTCATTGAGAAACCAAAATTATTTTGCTTTCCGTTTTGAATAACGATAAATGGGAAATATACTAGTAAAACCTTTGAAATTGTAAAATTACGTTTTTAGGAAGACTTATGCGTCTTTTAGTGGCCTGTTGAATGCACATATCTTGGGACGTTTTGTTGCTTGCAGTTGGCCAATCACTGCTTATTTCAAGGCCCTTTCTCAGCAGACGACAAGCAGAAGGGAAGGGGGTGGGATGACGGAGGACGAAGGCCATGTGAGTTGAGCCTGTGTGATAGATGGCATGTGATGTAATCCAAAACCGCCAATTCACCTCTATCGACCGTTATCAAGGGTAAGTTATGTCACCTTTATGACATTCCTCATTTAAGTCTTTGGCTAGGTTGCTTGTCTAAGACAAAGGTGTAGTAGCGACGGAACTACCATAACCCCAGCCAACTTATCAGTGTGTTTTAATTACTTGATCTAAATTTAACTTCATTGACACTGTATAATTAATCATGGACATACCTTCTGACGTCAGTTAAAATCTAAATATCAGAAGGCGTTTGTCAGACAAGTATTGTATGGCTCAAAATAGGTATTGATATTGATTGTTTTTAAAAAGACTTATTGTGTGCCCTTTGACCTTTGAAGTCACCTGTTCTAATTACTTCGAAGTTGATGTTCATCCTAGTCATGGTAAACATTCACCCATACATTATGTTTTATCTTTTTCAGGTATACCTCAACTATCAAATTTATCAACTAAATTTAAAATGGCAGAAAAGAAACAGCAACGTCTAGCTAGGTGGTATTTTGGCGGTTTGGCATCAGCAGGAGCATCATGTGTAACTCATCCTCTTGACCTTCTCAAAGTATGTGTGTAAAATATCATCAATGCTGTACACATTTTACCATTCCGGTCTATGACTGTTAATTATATCTAATATATTCCTCTAGGTTCATCTCCAAACTCAGCAAGGTGGCAAGACGTCTCTGTTAAGACTTACTGGCAAGATTATACAAGAACAAGGATTTTTTGCCCTTTATAATGGTTTGTCAGCCTCTCTATGTAGGCAGCTCACATATTCAACTGCTAGATTCGGAATTTATGAGGTAAGGACCCCTTATTATTTTAAAATGGAAGAGCCAACTCAATCTTTCAATTCTATGCAGATACAATTACTGACACCTATGCTTTTAGCCATTAGGAATGTGCTTGTATGGGTGGTCATGGGGTGGTTTATCTCCACTTGTTTTTAAATACAGTTACATAATTTTAAGAGGTATTTTTTAACTTTAAAGTTTATTCTGCAGGTGATTCAATACCTAGGGCATTTAATTCAAGGTAGTCAAAGTTTCTAAAGGTGCTTAATGTAGTTTTTACTAACCTTGGTTTTAGTTTCACTAACTCATAGGTCTTCCCACTATGATAATTCTCTATAATAATTTGTGTTGGTTTTAAATGTACAAAAATAGAATAACAAAAAACTCTTTTAGAATTTGTATTGTTGTTGCTGTGTGATATAGAGAAGTTCACAGTTAAAGTTGTGTATTTGCCTTGTTGCTTTTCTCTCTCTTTTTGCCTGTTCTGCCATATTTCGTATGGAAAGCATGATGTGCTCTCTAACCAAATTTACTCTCTCACTAACTTAAGCATGAAATTCTCACATGCATTTTCAAAATTTACTCAGGAACTTCTGTTGGTCAAACAGATTCCTCTATTTGCATTTTCTTATTTTTACAGGTGTCAAAGCAAATGATTGCTCCCAACGGTGAACAAATTTCATTTTTGGGTAAGGTTGGTTTAGCATCTGTCTCTGGTGCTTTTGGTGGATTTGTTGGTGTACCAGCAGACTTAGTTAATGTGAGGATGCAAAATGACATCAAGTTACCTCCAGAGAGCAGAAGGAAGTAAGTCCTTCCAAAATTGTTTGCTGTGCGAAATTGAATCACTAGTTGCAACTCATCTCTTAAAACTGTTTCTAGTTACAAACATGCAATTGATGGTTTATGGCGGGTTTTGAGAGAAGAGGGAATACGCCGTCTGTGGGGAGGAGCCACTGTTGCAACTGCAAGGGCAGTTCTGATGACAGTTGGACAGTTGTCATTCTATGACCAAGTAAAGCTGTTCCTTCTTGATTCGGGCTATTTTGGTGACAACGCTGCAACTCACTTTGCCGCTAGTCTCACTGCCGTAAGTGATTTAAATGCTATATGATTATATGATAAATTTTGTTTTATATCATTAAAGCTTTATATTCATTTTAGGGTGCTGTGGCTACGACCTTATGTCAACCACTTGATGTATTGAAAACAAGAGCAATGAATGCCAAGCCAGGAGAGTTCCAAGTAAGGAGAAATTATGAAGATAATTCGCAATAGTAACTTAAAGAGTAAGATTAATTATCTTTTACTTCATTTTTCAGAATCTATGGCATGTGGTGACTTATACAGCAAAACTGGGTCCGCTTGGATTTTTTAAGGTAAAGCACTTTATGATTACCTCTTTGCTAAACATTGCCTTTCTGGAGTAATTTATACAATTTGTCTTTTCCAGGGATATGTTCCAGCCTTTGTTCGTTTAGGTCCACAAACTATCCTGACCTTCATGTTTTTGGAACAACTTAAACTTAACTTTGGTTATGTTGTTGTGTGAGAAAAATTGCCGACTCTTTATCTGATCTTAAAATCATCATTTGTTCAAGAATTTTTTTTTACTGAGTGCTAGATTGAGATATCTATCTGCCATAAGGAGAGGTATAGATCCATTTTCTTTGATAACTCACTGCAATTCCATAGCTTGTAACAGAATTTATAGTTATTTGACACCTCAAACTTGAACTGTACCATTGACATAATTTTTTTTATCTTTAGCCAACAATGCCTATGTCTTATGTAAAATAGGCAAACAAAAATGTTTGTGCTTATTGTGAATGTCTTTATGACATCAGATTTCAGATTTCAGAAATCTTTCTATTGCACAGATTTTTGATCTCCTTGTATAATTTGTTTTACTTGTTTCTGTATATTACCCTTGTGAGAACCGTCCTTTTTCCTCTTTGTTTTTCAATCTAGTTGTCTGGTTCTTAAAAATCAAATGTAACATGTAGTATTGTAAGGATTGTGCCATACCTGTAAGCTTATCAAAGTTCACAAAGGGCAAGGCAGCTCCAGGGTAATAATACTGAGCAATTTTTTTTATTTTGATGAGCCATCTATCTGCTAACTGACATATTTTTTAAGAATTTTAGCAAAAATCAAAGTTGTGATAGTTGGTTGTCTGCATTTATTTCTTACATTGCATTTTTAGCTAGTACCAGTCATTAAATTTTGGTCATGTGGGATATTTTCAGCACAGCAAAATACAGGTAACGACAGATAGTGTTCCATGCACCATGACAAGATTTAAAGTGGATTTTGCCCTGTCAGGCTTAAGCTGAAATTACATCAATCTTTTGAAACATACCTAATTGACTACACTTTTGTTTTCGTCCCATGCTTAGCATAAATGACATATAATAGTTCTAAGTTGAGCTGATAACAAACTGGAAAGGCTGTTAAATTATTTAATATCTATGATAGTTATTGTGTGCCTTTACTTGTGACAAAAACATCCTGTATAAATATGTAACAAATTACGTTATTGTGCTTTGTTAACTAACATTCCACTATTTATTTATTTATATTTTGTGGGGACCAGGTTTTGTTACTTTTTCTTCTTTTTGCTTTTGTGATAAACATTGATTACGTAGGCAATGACTCTCTCATAAAAAGTGTAACTGCTAGTGCTAAATTAGGATTTGTTAGTAGATTATTCTTCTTTCCTTTGGTTGATCTTTACTGATATGAGGAAAGGGTAAACCTTGTGACGCTGGGCACTGTTATTTATCAATTTGTTCAAAGACTTACACATGCAGAAGTAGTCAGGTATTTCTGCTAATTTTTCTCTCTTGATTTGCATTTCGTTTTTTACTGACCTATATATTATCTAATGCTTTTGCTTCCAAAATTATACTGCATTGTATTACTATTTGACAAGACTTCAAGAGAGCTTTCTTCACATGTTGGATTGTGTAAAACTAAGACAATATGTGGAAGAAGGGTATTTAGTAGGTAAGTGGTTGTTAAAGGGTGAGGTGTTTGCAATACGATAAGACAATATTTTTGTCTCTTATTAATTTGACTTTGAAGAGTGAGATCTCTTGCTTAGAATCTCCCAAACTAGATGTACTGGAATCCACATTGCATATTTCCTACTGAACCACATGCGTTGTGTGTCCTGTCCTGCTAACCTTGTACAAATGTGTTGTGTACGTTTAACAACTAGCAAAATTTGTATTGCTTGTGTTTTTGTTTGAATCAAAAACAATAATATATAGGAATAAGGTATTTATTTTTGTGCTTTGTTTGAAAATTGTTACTATATTTTAAAAAATGCTATTTATCATTTGTTAAAAATAAAAAAATAAAATCTGATGTTTCTTAAACCGAAGTCCCAGTTATTTTACAACTCAAGTATGCATTACTCTTGTGGAGGAAGCTGGGATAACGGAGAAATAAAATAAATTTCATAAAACATTGGTTTTCTTTAATAAATAGTACTTCTCTGGAAGGTGTGAAAGTCGTCACACAAAAATAAATAGCCAGAAGTAAACACACAACTGAGTACAAAAATACTGTTTCATATTATTCTGATTCATTGATTTCTTAAGTCAAACAAAAGGCCCACAATTTTGATTTGGCATACAGGAACTTCTTTTGATATAAAATTGCAACAAACTAGTGACACACTAGAGACAAAGGCAATCACTTCGTACTACTCAATTTGAGCAGTCAATGTCAAACATCATTTGGAACTGTTATAAAAAGTACAAGTACTACAATACACATCAGTACAAAACATGATATAGATTCTTGATTATTGTAAAAATAAATTAATATCACAAAACTGACAGAGGCAACCAGAGGACATAATTTCTAGTTACCCTGTTCCTTTCAGTGAGTGGGAACAGCCTCAGCAGCAGCTGCCCACGGTAACAATGCTTTTGAGGTAGCTGAAGGACACATTGTCCCCATTCACATACACACATTACACACGCTCATAACAATTAAACGAGAATAAAAATAACAAATAAAAAGGACACCCACAACATTCAAGTACAGAAATTATTATCCTATTATTTGGTTTTAACATCTCTTACCGACTGATAAGAAAACATCGACAGAACGGTGAGAGAGTTGTTACAAGGGTTGACACAGGTAGGCAAAGAAAACACTGAGGAAACATAAAAAAAATATCAACAAGATTTTGAAAGTAAACGATCCCGCGACGACACAGTCATGTCATCACTTGATTAACACACTAGTTTGTATCCCGAGGGATGCAAGTGGTAACGGAGATGACGGCAGCCGCGGGTTCGAATCCTCTCGAAAACCTAAGTCATTTTTCACCTTAACTAGCTTAACCGCACACAGCCCTATGGCGGCAGTTCGAGGTCATAGTGCGTAAGGGTAATCGTCTAAAAATCGACACAGGGTCGTGGGCAACTCCATCTTCGCGATCCTCTCGCTTCGCTGTTGCGGCGTTATCGACGTGGTCGCGGCGGCCTTGAGCTGCTTGTGGACGGCGAGCCTGGCGAGGTGCTGCAGCCCCGGGACTGTGTGTCGGCGGGGTGCCGTGAGCAGGATGTGGGAATACACCTGTCCGCGCGCATCCACCCACACCTGCTCCCGGTTGCGAGGCGCACTCGCACCAGCAGCGGCGGCGACGGGCGCGGAGCCCCGCTTCCCTCGGTGGTCCATGTAGTGCTCGATGAGCTGCAGCACGCAGGGGAACAGGGGCATCGTCGGCGCGAGGTGCGGCTCCGCGTCCAGCCTGAAGCCCCCAGCCACGTAGAGCAGGCGCACGCTCGTGGGGCCGCGGTCCGTCTGCACGCTGAGTGAGAAGAGGAAGCGCGGGTCGCTCGAGTCGCGGACCAAGAAGGTGCCGGGCGCGGCGTCGCGCAGCGTGGCGGCCGACTCCTGCCACGAGAAGCCCTCGTAGTACCAGCCGCTGGTCTGCAGGGCTTGAGTGGTGGCCTGGAGCAGGCGCAGCTCCGCCTCCGGGTTGGAGCCGACCTCCGGCGCGGGCTGGTGGGCCGGCGCCGGACAGGCCTCCGGGACGACGGCATGGAGGTCGACCGAGAGGCCGGCCAGCGCCACTCCTCCGGGCAGCACGAAGGACAGCGGCGTGGAGGGCGACTGCTCGGGGGCGACGCCGGACGCCGAGCCGCAGACTTGGGGCGGATGGGTTGGTTTCCCCCGCGGTTGCAGCAGAACGGGGGCCTCCTGCTGACCCTGCTGACCACGCTCGTGAAGGATGCCGCCCCCAGTGAGCCGGTACTGCGCCCCCTTCACCCAGACGGGGGGCTGATTGTGCGGCTGGCTGAGCGGCTGCCTCGGCCTGTTGACCCCCATGTGGGCCAGGGGGCCGTGGATAAGCTCCAGGCCGAGGGTTAGTGGTGCGGGGACAGGACCAGTCTGCGTGGGCCAGGTCGGCGTCGGTTGCGGCATCGCCCACGGCGTGGGCATCATGGCCCACGTCGGCGCAGGAGCCATGCTGGGCACCGAGACGGGGGCGGGCTGGTTCCAGGCCCACATGGGCGCCACGGCGGGGAGCGTGGCCGTCACCGAGATGGTGGGCGCCGCGACAGACGGCGTCGTCTTCACCACCACATGGCCGCCGTTGAGGGAGGCAGCGCTGGACGCCGTGATGGACAGCGACAGCATGGCTGACGACGGCGTCGGCGAGGAGACGGGGCCCGGCGGTTGAGCCGGGGGCAGCCAGGCGGCAGGGACAGCGCCGCCGCCCAGGCTGGGGGCGGGCGCGGGGGTGGGCCCGACGGAGCGGGGGCAGGGGCAGAGCTGGGGCGTGGTGGGCAGCAGCGGGGCCGGCTCGAGCGGCGAAGCAGTCGGCGGGAACTCGTGTCGGCATTTGGGACAGACGGTCAACACCATTATTGCTCCATCATGAAGGACCACCTGCAACAAGAGCGAGAAGGCGACTGTTAGCGCTGGGAGTAAAGCACATTCGCACAACCGCAGCGCCGCTTACGCCAGCGTGCGAGATAGGCCAGCTGGGCTTATCAGCGGCGGGGCGGGGTGGGG